AGCTGGGCGCTGGGGACAGCTGTGGGTAAGTGGGCTCTGGAGGGAGCTGGGCCAGCCCCGAGGGGGTATGCCGGAGGGTGCCTCCTTGTCCCCCTGGCCCACACCACAGCTCCCCGAGCCCTGGGTGGGAGCCGCAGTTCCTTGCCAGCACCCGGGCTGCGGCACACCTGGTCTGCGGGGCTAAAGCGGACACGGGGGGGACAGACATGTACCCCACAGGGGTCCCTGGGCCTGCTGCCCAAGTGGCGTCTGGTGGGGAGGGAAGAGGGCTGAGCTTCGGCCAGAGCAGCAGCAAGCTGTAGCGCAGGACAGTAATGAGTTTGTGCTTCCAGAGGCAGCTGCGGGCTTCGGCCCACGGCTTCACGCTCCAGCGAGTCACGCATCCTGGGTGACACGAACGCCCAGCCTGGGGCCTGGCCCTGGATCGTCAGCATCCAGATTCCCTGGGCTGAGGGCACAGGGCACATATGTGGAGGGTCCCTCATCAGTGCCCAGTGGGTCCTCACAGCCGCCCACTGCTTCTATGGCAGCAGGTAAGGAGGCCCAGGGCATGGGCAATTCCCCTCGGGTGCGCCTGGGCAGCGCACTCCTCCCTCGTGAAGCAGAAGGCTGGCAACTGCTGGGCTGCTGCAGCCCATGGCTCCGCTCCCTCTGAGCCCCCTCTCCCTCTGCCCTCCAGCTATGCCCTGTATTACCGCGTGGTGATCGGGGCCACCCAGTTGAGTCAGCTGGGCCCTGAGGCCCAAGTGCGCAACATCAAGCGGCTGTTCCTTCACGAGCACTACAACAATAAAACGCTGAAGAACGACGTTGCCTTGCTGGAACTGGATCAGCCCGTCCAGTGCAGCGACTACGTACAGCTGGCCTGTGTGCCCGACAGCTCGCTGAGCGTGTCAGAGCTGACAGAGTGCTATGTCAGCGGCTGGGGACACATGAGCGAGAAAGGTGAGTTCCCAAAAAGCACTGAGAGCTGAGGCCGAAGGCAGAGCCGGGTTGCGGGGACACGCGTCTGTGGAGAGCTGGCCCTGGCCACGACCAGAGCAAAGCAGAAGGGAAACCTGGGCGCAACGCCTCCGAAACGCACGGCCGAGCCCTAGGGAAGGGGTGCACCCAGGCAGGGGAGCAGAAGTGGCCACGAGCTGCTGGGGGTTCGTTGCTGGCTGGTA